ACTCCTTAGGTCGCCATTCCACAAGATCAATCCATCCAATCCCTTGGCCTCTTGGCCACTCATCACATTAGTGGCAGAGCTGTGATTCAGAGTGTTTCTTTCCACAACACTGCAGCCAACAGGTGAAGTACACGGATTCTGGAGTCAGCCTACATAGGGTTGATTTCTGGCCCTGCCACCCAGACCTCTGAGTCTTTGGGCAAGTTTTTTAACCTCTCTGGGTATCAGTGTCTTTGTCTATAAAGTGAAGAGAATACTAGTGTCTACTATATGGGGTTGTTTTGAAGACTAAATGAGAAAATGCAAATAAGGAACTATGTGGTATACAATAAACTCATAATAAATACTATTACTATTATTTCCTGAAAATAAGAACAGTCTAGTAGGTAGAACTTTGTAACCCAAGAGGACATGAGCAGAGTGAGAGCGAGGACAATCTAGGGGATTGTTTACTTGATTACTTTATATACTAATCGTAGAGTTAGGTCTGGAATACAGATCTTCTAAGTCCCAGGCAATGAATTCTAAGTCCCAATACAATAAATATTATTAACTTATATTTACTGTATAAGTCAAGGTCCAATTCAGAGACAGAGATCACACCAGTTATTTGACCAGAGAGAATTTTAATTGTTAATTAAGTTTAAAGCTGTTAATTAGGTAACTAAAAGGTTAAAAAAATAAGAGAGAGAGAGAACTTTAAGATGTCGTGGATGAAGCAGCTACCAGCCATAGGGCTGGGAGAACAAAGGGAAGAGTTTGGAATTATAAAAACGTGGAAATTGAGAGGAGGGACCCCATAGAGGTGAAACTCAGACCTCCGAGGAGGGGACACAGTTCAGCTGGTGCTGTGTCTTAGAGGGCAGAGTGGGCAGAGTTGCTCAATGATGCTGGTTCCGCCTGTGCTGGAAAAGCTACAAGATGGATTTCACTGCTGCACAGGATAGAATTGCCCCTGCCAGAGGGGAGCGAGGAACAGTAAGCCGGCGGGAAAGAGCTAGGCCTTTCTCCCTCTTCCAGCCTCTCAGCTTCCCTCCAGAGTCCCCATCAACGGACACTAACAGGGAACCAGCTGACAGAGCAGAAATGTGGCTGGGGAGTCCCAGGCCCCGCATCACAACAAAGCAGAGCACAGAAGGATGGGTTTGGAGCTGAGAGACAACAGCTTGACATCCGCTTAACAACAGGCACAGGCAGTTATTTATATGGGAGGGAAATAAGGAAACGGGCTCAGGGTGCGTTGGGAAGGGGCTGGGTTATCCAATAAAAAGGTGAATTCTATAATTAATGCCAACAAATTGTACACTTGAAATGGCAAATTCTGTGCTATATATTTTACCACAATAAAAAAATCTTCCCTACCAAAAAAACAGAACTGAATTCCTGGGGCCAAGTTCATCAGGGAAATCCTTGATTTCTTCTGGGAGCCACTGAGTGACATCCTTCCAGAATTTAAAAAGCAGATCATGCCCCCTGTGCTAAACTGTATAATTGTACAATGCTAAGATGTAACAAACCACCTTCTGAGACAAAAGAAAGTGACAAACTGAGGACAAAAGTTTGCAAAACAGGCCAGATACAGAGTTGATCTCCATCTGAACAAAGGTGTTAATACAAAGAAAAATATGAACATATCGATTAACAACAATTCACCATTTTCTCAATATGAATGACAAAGATTGAAAAGAATAATAATTCTCAGTGTTGGTAAAAGTTGATGAAAAAAGAGAAACTCAAATTCTCACACACTATTGGTGAGAACGTAAATTGTTTTCAACTTAAAATGTGGCTACTTGTTAATAAGTATCAACAGCCTTAAATAAAAATACTCATATCCCTTCACCCAGAGATTCCACTCCTGGGAACTTATTTGAAGGAAATACTTAGAGAGATGCGCGTGGATGTGGACAGGGTAGTTCTCTGAAGTGCTTTTTACAGCAAAAAAATGGAAACCACCTAAATATTCAATGAAGATGTCAGTCAAATCTATTATGGCACTACATACGCAATCATAAAAAGATGTTCTCAATGTGTTGTTAAGTGAAAATGCCGGTTGAAAAATAATATTTGATCTAATTTTTGGCCCTGAATTGTAAATTATATATTTACAAATATGAAAAAAAAGAGACTGAAAAGAGCATACACTGAAAAATGTCAAAAGTTTTTTCTCTGGCTAGGACTATGGTGATTTTTGGTTACTTCTTTTACTCAGCTGTAGTCTCTAATTTTTCAGTATGTGTTATTTATGAACAGGGCAAGAAAGGAGAAGCAAAAATTTAGTGGTCACTGAAACTGCCAATATATCTGAAGACAGCTGTGTCCATGAGGAAGGAAAGGAGTGGCCTTGGAAGTTCGGACAAAGCAGCTATGGAGGCCAAAGCCATTCAAGTCCTGTTCAGAGGATGGGGACCCTGGGGAAACTGAGGCACAGGTCTCTCCTGTGAGATGAACCCCTTAAGCCACCTTAGCCTCATGTCATTAAACATGCTAATCGTGCATTTAATTTCCCATTCCAGGCCTTGAGGATTAGAATTCATCTCTCCATGAGGGCTTGGAGAGAACTTTGGACAGAGAATGCAAGTGTTTCATGTCCTTGTAATTATATTTCTTGCTGTAAATTGATAAACCGAGGGGTCAAGGGAGGAGTAAGGAGCATGGTCTGGCCCGGAGCTTCTGGATCTCAGGGGCCCTGCTCTCTGCCCTGCCCTGTGAGGCCAGAACTGGCCAGTCGATGGAAGTGGCAAGTTCCAGCCACTGCCTGGAGTTCTCATCAAAGACGAGGATATTCCCCAAGGTAATGTAAGCTCATCCTCCAAGTGGAAGAACAAATTCTCATGACTCTAAAATAGAAAGAAATGGTGGATTACGGAGGAGAAACGTTCTTCCCTGGAGCCAGGCGGCCTGGGTTCTGTTCTGGCTCCATCAGCTCCCCAGCTAGGGCCCGCGGGCAAACCTCCCAGGAGCTCTCCATGAGTCCGCCACTTCAGCTTCCCGGAGTGTTGCAGGGAGTGAAGGAGTCGATGAATGGCGAGGGCCTAGATCAGTGTCAGGCGCACAGTAAAGGTTCAGTAGGTGCCCATTGTTATCATTATGTCTCCAGTGTTCTTTCTGTGACCACAGCACACCCATGAGCCACCAGGAGAGCCGCCCTGTTTCTGGGCGTCTGCATGCAGAGATCATGAAAAGTACTTGGAGACAAGTTGCTTCTCTGACACACAATTGAAGGTCCGGGGGTTGAGATATTCTTTAAATTTTATAATCTTCAAATGCAACAACTCCAAAAAGCAACTGGAAGAAACCCTTTATGCGATGCCATTCCCCAACAGGGTACGTTTGGTGTGGATTTGAAGGCAGCAGCCTCATTTGCCTCACCGAGAAGTAGATTCTGATAATAGATGGGAGGTAAAAATAAAATCTAGGCTGGGGCCAGCCCGGTGGCGTAGTGGTTAAGTGTGCGTGCTCTGCCTCGGCGGCCTGGGGTTCGCAGATTCGTATCCCAGGTGTGGACCTACACACCGCTCATCAGCCATGCTGATGAGTATTCCACATACAAAATAGAGGAAGATGGGCACGGATGTTAGCCCAGGGACAATCTTCCTCAAGCAAAAAAGAGGAAGATTGGCAACAGATGTTAGCTCAGGGCCAAGTTTCCTCACCAAAAAATAAATAAATGAAATAAAATAAATTCTAGGACTTGCTCCAAACACTGGAAACATCCACAACTCAACATTAAAGGGATTATATTGGACCCCTCTCTAAGCACATCACAATGTCAAGAAACCCAGGAATGGAGCAATCCTCAAGTTTGGTAGGAGAAAATATGATACTTTAAAAATTAAGGAAAAATTTTGGAAGGAACTGAAGCATTCATATAATCCAATTCCAAAAAATAAATACAAATGTTCTCATGGTAAGATAAGGAGTGAGTCAGAGTGCCTGGGTTCAAGTCCTACCCTCAGTGGGACTTCAAATAAGTTACTCAGTCTCTCTGTACCTCTGTTTCCTCATCTCCAAACTGGGTACTATTGTTCCCTTTCGTCCTGGGCCTCTCTGAAGGTTCAGTGGGATAAGCCGTGGAAAGTGCTCCGAGCAGCCCTGGCAGAGGTAAGTGTTCAATGCGTGCTCCCATTGTCATTGTCCTGGACGTTCTTGACCCGGAGCAATTTTACCTCTTCCATGTAGTGAGATTAATTAAATCAAGCAAATCATTTGCTATTCCTCAAGTATTTTTTTTGATTGAGGTTACCTTGGTTTATAACATTATATAAATTTCAAGCATACATCATTATATTTTCACTTCTGTATAGACTGCATTGTGTTCACCACCAAAAGTCTAGTTTCCGTGCATCACTGTACACATGTGCCCCTTTACCCCTTTCACCCCATTCCCATCCCCTTCCCCTCTGGTAACCACCAATCTGTCCTCCATATCTATGTGTGTTTGTTTTTTGAGTCTTCCACATGTGAGTGAAATCATCAGGTATTTGTCTTTCTCTGTCTGACTTCTTTTGCTTAAAATAATACCCTCAAGATCTAACCATGTTGTTGCAAATGGTATGATTTTGTCTTTTTTTATGGCTGAGTAGTATTCCATTGTATATATATACCACATCTTCTTTATCCATTCATCCATTGATGGGCACTTGGGTTACTTTCAAGTCTTGGCTATTGTAAATAAGGCTGTAATGAACATAACGGTGCAAATATCTTTTCAAACTAGTGTCTTCAAATTCTTTGAATAAATACCCAGAAGTAGAATAGCTGGATCATATGGTATTTCTATTTTTCATATTTTTGAAAAAATCTCCATACTGTTTTCCATAGTGGCTGTGCCAGTTTGCACTCCCACCACCAGTGTATGAGGGTTCTCTTTTCTCCACTTTCTCTCCAGCACTTGTTATTCCTTATCTTTTTAATAATAGCCATTCTGAGCCAGCCCTGATGGCCTAGTGGTTAAAGTTCGGTGCTCTCTGCTTCGGCAGCCTGGGTTTGGTTCCCGGTCGTGGAATCGCTTCACTTGTCTGTCAGTAGCCATGCTGTGGCAGCAACTCACATAGAAGAACTAGAAGGACTTACAACTAGGATATACAACTATGTACCGGGGTTTTGGGAAGGGGAAAAAAAAGAGTAAGATTTGCAACACACGTTAGCTTGGGGCAAATCTTTCCCAGCAAAAATAATAATAATAATAATAATAGCCATTCTGACGAGTGTGAGGTGATACCTTGTTGCAGTTTTGATTGGCATCTCCCTAATAGTTAGTGATGTGGAACATCTTTTCATGTGCCTGTTGGCCAGCTACAGATCTTCTCTTGAAAAATGTCTATTCATGTCCTCTGCCCATTTTCTGATTGGGTTGTTCATTTTTTTGTTGTTGAGTTGTATAAGTTCTTTACATATTTTTAGAAATTAACCCCTACTGGATATATGATTTGTAAATATTTTCTCCCAGTTGGTGGGTTGTGTCCTAAACCCACCAAGTTTTTGAACCATTCAAATGCATTTTAAAAATATTTTACTTATTTTTATTTACTCTTTAGCAAAAAAAAAAAAAATTTTTTCCTGAAAGAACTCTACTTTTCCCCTTTGGCAGCATATCTTCACACTTTTCAGCTGTAGATATTTTCTGAGATATCGACTTTCATGGACTTCCTTTATAACTCTGCAGGCCGTGGTATTAGCCCTGACAAGATGTTCTGAGTGTTCAGAGGAAAGTGGGTGGGGTGTCTGGCTTCCTCCAGCTTTGTCCTTCTGCCCCCTCTTCTCTGATGGGGCAGAAGGCTGGCGCCTCCCAGATAACCTTTGCCTTCGCTGGGACAAGGGAACAGGAAGCACCGCTGATGGGCCATCACCAAGTGTCTTTCAACTTCAGGCTTCAGAAATGTTTTGTCCTATATACACGACTTTGATTTCATCCATCCCACGTTGGTTTTGTTGTCTTGGTGTTCTCTCCTCCACCCACTTTCCCAACACACTCACACACACACTGATCTCCAGAAGTTCTATGATTCAGTCACGGGGATTCTACGATTCCAATTGCCCAGGTTGCTGAGGTTATAAGCCTTTAGGATCTGCCAGAGCTAATGCTGCTTCTCAAAGGCCCCACTTTCCAAGCAGGAAGGACATAAGCCCTGGACCAAAATCACCAAACATCCCAACTGCTGTTATTTGGTCCCAAATGTACACTGTTTAAATGTCAAATGAGTGATCAAGTCAATCCCGCCTTACAGGAAATCTGCTGATGAATTCTGGTAAGGCGTGAGAGGAACAGGACATAGCCTGTAAAAAGTCCAGTTAACAGTAATAACTGTGCCAAAAGCACAGTTCCTGGATGGCTTTGTGTTTACGGGGGCAGCTTTCTTCCTTGAAGGAATTGTTGTAGGACGGGCTGGGCAGAGAGGTGATGGGAAATTACAATCAAGGGGTCTGCGATTCTCTCCAGACTCCAGCCAGCCTTCACTGGGAGTGGTCCCCATCTCAACCGCTTAGAGTTTCTTGTTAAAGCTGAGGTGAGTCCTTTTTAGGTGGTCTTATTTTTATTAAGTCTGCATTTATTGGATGGGTGCTGTGTGCCAGGCAATGTACAAGATCTATTTCCTTCTTTTCACAAAACTCTGTGACAAAGGAAGGTACTATCATTAGCCCATTTTACACATGAGGAAACTGAGTCTCTTACCCAAGTTACCCAGCTAGGAAGTGATGGAGACAGGGTAGAGACAGGATGGAGACCCATGTTCTTACCCATGGGACTAGACAGCCTCCCCTGCTCTCCCTCCCTTCACAGCAGCCTCCAGGCAAGCAGCTGCCTCCTGTTCCTTTTAAGTGTGAACTTTCCTCTCCACCCTCCACGCTCACGCCCAGCTGTACCCACCCTTCCTTCCTATAATCCCATTCCTTCTTGCCCCTAAAGACAAACCTCCAAACCAAGGCTATTGTGTTTACTGCACTCGCCTGCAGGGAAATGGAACATTAACCAGAACTCTAAAGGTGGAAAGTCCCAAAGTTTTCAGCCTGGAAAGGGAGCTCTAAGTCCCTCCGCCACGACAGTGCTGACTTGAACTCCTGCCCCGACCTTTCTTCTCCAAGGCCAGGCTCACTGATCCACAACCTCATCCCATCCTATTTTTCAGGAAAGCCCCACTTACTTTTCTGTCTGTCGTCCAGAAGAGTCGGGAAAACAGACTGAGGTCACATTCACGGATTGCTTATTGCAGCCTTGGGCACTGCACAGAAGAGATGTCACTCCCCCTTCAAATGCTAGCATCGCCCAATCTTTGCAGAGAAGGGAAATGTCATCCTCACTTCTGCCGTGCCCCTTCTGGAGGTGGGAGAGAAAGAATTGATCAGTGTCATTTAATGTCCAAAAATGTGCAAAGGGATCCAAGGCAGGGAGGGAGTGGATACTCTCTTAGCATAGTAGATCAAAATAATTAATTCACACAAAATGAAGCCAAAGTTCTGAAAAAAGAGAATATTAATTTCCCATGGAAGCCAATTTTTGAACTTTTAATCTATATTATATCTTTAATGTCATATTTGATACATAGAAAAGAATATGTGTAACATACACGTAAGCTACAAAGTATAACAAACAGCTATGAACCCACCACTCAAACCCAAGTAGTAGAACTCATTACCAATCCTTTCTATCTACCTATGTCTTCCTCCCCTCTGCATTCTCTACCTTCCTCCCAGCGGTCACCACTACCCTGAATTTTGTGTCTGCTATTTTTTGTTCATAGTTTTCGAGCTTTATAAAAATAGAATCATATCTTCTAAGACTTGATTTTTTCATTCAATTATGTTTCTAAAAGTCATTCGTGTTGTCACGTGTGTTTCACCGTTGTGTCATAATCAATGAATGAACCTACTGTTCTCTGGATGGGTGTTTGAGTTGTTAACATTTGTGTGGGAGGATTGCAAAGACAGCTGCCATGAATGTTTTTCTTATGTCTCCTGGTCACGTGCAAGGGTTCATTGTGGAGTCAAAAAATACATGAATGTTCAGCTTTACAAACTAATCGCAAATGGTTTTCCAAATTGAATTAGTTTACATTCCTCTTATTACTACTCAGCATCTTTTCATATATTTATTGACTATTTATTTTCTCTTCAGTGGAATACTTATTTATGCTTTTTGCCCATTTTTAGTATAATTGTCTGTATTTTTCTTATGGATATGTGGGAATTCTTTATATATTCTGGATACTAAACTTTTGTCAGTTACATGTCTTGCGAATATCTTCCCGTTTTTGGCTTATCTTTTCCCTTGTGTCTTCTGATGATCAGAACTTCATAAGTTTAGTATAGTAAAGTGTATTGATATTTATTTATTTTTGTTTTGTTTAAGAAATCCTTTCCTACCCCAAGATTAGGTAGATAGTACTCTATATGTCTTCTCGAGGTATTGGTTTTCCCTCTTAATGACTCAATACCTCTAAAATTGTCTTTTGGAATAGTTTGAATTAGGGATCCAATCTCCTTTGTTTTGTGTTCCATATGCTTGAGCAATTTGATGAGGCGCCATTCTTTGACTTTGTTCCTTCTTTCCCCCACTGATCTGCAAAGTTACATCTATCACATATCAAATACCATGTGTACATGGTATTTCTGGGCTCTCTAGTCTGTTCCATTGCTAAATTGTAAATCCCTGTGTCAATATCACACTGTTTTCATTTCCATTGCTTTACAACGTCTTGCTGTCTGCAGGGCATGTCCCATCACTTAATTTTTCTTCAAGAGGACGTTGGCTAGTCCAAGTGCTTTCCTCATCTATATAAATTTTAGAATAAGTTTATGAAACTCTAAACAAAACAACAAAAACAAAAAATTATAGGGGTGTTTTCTCTAATTGCATTAAACCTGTGGATATCCATGGGTCAATGGGGAGAACTGACATCTTTATATGATATTCCCTTCCTATCCATGAACATGGGATGTCTTTCCATTTATTTTGGCCTCCTTTAATCCTTCAGTTCAGTTTTACCATTTTATACACACAACTCTTGCACACCTTTATTTAGATTTATTTCCAAGTACCTTTAAGATTTTATTGATGCTGTAAAATTCTTTTCAAATTGTTTATTGCTGGCATATAGGAAGGCAATCAACTTTTAGTATTAATATAATCAGCCACATAACTAAACTCGATTATCACATCTAATAATTTGCCTATACATTCGATTGGGTTGTCTATGTAGACAATTACATCAAATGTGAATAATGACAGATATGCTTTCTCCTTCCAGTTCTATACTTTAATTTCTTTTTATTGCCCTGCTGAGCTGGCTAGGACCTCCAGTGTTGAATAGATGGGCAATAAAGGTTGTTCTTGCCTTCTTCCTGTGTTTAAAAAATACTGCTGCTAATATGCTAATACTTTCCTATTAAAACTGATGTTTGCTGTAAGTTTTCTTGAAGTCAGACTTTATCAGGTCAAGGAAATCTCTTTAGTCCCAGTATACTAAGATTTGTGTGTGTGTGTGTGTGTGTGATTTAAATCATGAAGGGGACTCTACTTGTATCAAATTCTTTTTCCCACGTCTGTTGGGATGACCATGTAGTTTTTCTCTTTTAACTTCTTATGCAGTGGTGAATAATATTTATAGATGTTTAAATGCTAAACCTCCCTTGTATGTTTGGGTTAAACCTAACACAGACATTTGTATTATTCTGTGTGTGTGTGTGCGCCCTGCTGGATTCAGTTTGCTAAAATGTTTACCTATATCCATATATGTGATTGGCTTATACTTTTTACTACTTGTAATATCTTTGTCTGTCTGGGCATCAAGATTATTGTGGCTGCCTAGATGAGTTGGGAAGTATTTTACCTTCTGTTTTCTGGAAGTTTCTTTTTGTAATATTAGCATAAATATTTGGTAGAATCTGCTCATAGAACAGTAAATGTCTCGTGAGGCACAATACTTCTGCTTCAATTTATTCACAGTTAAAGGAAAATTCAGGTCTCTAGTCCTCGCGTTTTTTTTTTAACCAAGTTATACTATTCTAAGTATTTGTTTTGTCTAAAATTTAAAATTTAGAATATTCAGCTTTGGTGGATTTCTCTAAATTTCTTTTTAATCTCTATGTTATCTGTAATTATGGTTCTTTTCCATTCCTAATACTGTTTTATTTTTTCTTCCTTCTTTTTATCTTCATCAGTCTTGCCAGAGTCTTTCGGAAGAACCCATTTTGGGCTGTGTTCATCTTTTCCTATCATATTTGTTGTTGCCGCTGATGGTGACTTCTCCCTTATCTTTATTATTCCTTCCTTCTACTCTCCTTGAGCTAATTCTGTCTTTCCTTTTTTTGTGTGTTTCTGCTACTGAAAGCTTAGCCTATTCATTTTCAGCTATTTTTCTTTTTATGCACTTTCTGTATTGTTATATTTGATAATTAAAAATGTTTTTTAAAAATCCTCACACAGGGGCCGGCCCGGTGGCACAAGTGGTTAAGTGCACACGTTCCGCTGTGGCGGCCCGGGGTTCGCCGGTTCGGATCCCGGGTGTGCACCGACGCACCACTTGTTAAGCCATGCTGTGGCGGCATCCCATATAAAGTGGAGGAAGATGGGCATGGATGTTAGCCCAGGGCCAGTCCTCCTCAGCAAAAAAAAAAAAAGGAGGATTGGCATTGGATGTTAGCTCAGGGCTGGTCCTCCTCACAAAAAAAAAAAAAAAAAAAATCCTCACACATTTTGAAATTTAAAAACAAATTTCTAAGTAACTGATAGTCAAAAAAGATCATCATAATTGAATTTAAAGAATATTTATAATTGAATGACAATGGGACATATCAAAATTTATGGGATATGACAAAGTCATATTTTAAAAAATTAGAGCCATTTGGGGCTCCTTGTGCCACTGAGCCAACAGGCAGAGAAAGGAGTCACTGTCTTGACCGGGGTGATTGATAACTCTTACCAGGAGGGAGATTAGGTGTTGCTACACAAAGGGGGCAGAGAGGAATATTTCTGGAACTACAGTGACTTACGTGGGTGCTTCTTAGTATTTCCTTACCCCCTAGTCCAGGTCAATGGAAGATCAAGGCAATCCAATAAAGAGAAGACTTCCAAAAACTCAGATCTCATGGTAATGAAGTCTTGGGTCATCCCACCAAATAAAGACACTTATTTGGCCAGTGTGCTGGCAGAGAGTAAGGGAATATGAAATGAGTGGTGGGAGGAAGTAGCTTGAACTACCAATTTAAGCCCTGTGACCAGCTGGGGATGCACGGACTGTAACTGCCATGTGTATATTATCTAATCCATCACCCCTCCCACTACTTTATATAAAGAATACCTGTGACAGCTAATGTTTTAGGTTTCAGGAGGGAGTATGACTTTATTGATATTATCTTACAATGATATTGTAGCTGATGGGACTTCCCATGCTCCCTGAATAGGGAACATGGGATTTTCATTTGGATAAGGACAAGGTGGATGGTGCAGGGCAAAATGGGTGGATTGTGACAGATATATTCATTTGCCCATTTCTATCTACTCTACACTCTTCTCCACCCTGCTGTCTGCCCTAGGAAGCTGACCTGCGTGGATTATAACAGCCTAGTCCTCTGGGTTCCAGCTAGCACGGGCAATGGGGAACTCCTCCCCCTGAGGAAGATCAGAGGGAGAAAGGAGGGGGAGGATGGGGTATTTATTTCTGTAGTTCTCTCCCTGCAAGTTTACTTTGGGCCAACTTTGTCCACCAAGTAAAGGTCACTGGTCCTGGCAAGGTGGCTGTCCACACAACTATCTCCTTCCAGGTTTTGTAAACACTTGCTGCCTATATTCCAATGGACCCAGGAATGTAACAGGTCCATAGTCCTATCTCTGGGTTATTGAACTATTCTCCATGGTTTTCACATTTGCTGCCTCCATCTTTGTAAGTAGTTCCTTTATTAAACCCTCTTTGAATTATCCTAATCCGAGGGTGCCATAGTTTTCCTACTGGACATATGATGATGGGTCAGAAACAGGGTTCTCAAAGGAAGAAGCAGCGTTACAACTGATTCTCTTTCTAATGATTTTTTCCAGGGCTGTATCCCACTAACTTAGATTTCTGGCTAAGTCTGTTTCTAACTGGGTAATTTGCCGTTATCTTCTATACACTATCAATTGCAAATTATTCAAGGCTATTAATTAACTGATCACAAATATTCACCATATTATCAATGGGAAAGTTTTCATCTGTGTTCATTTTATCATCACTATCATCGTGATTACCAGTCAACTCTCATCTGTATTTAACAGCACTGCAGCAATTTCCCCATTGTGCAAGGAATGAACAATAGATGAATCATAGGAGTCAACCTTTCTATGATATTAGCTCCTCTAACTTATTTACACTTTTGGCTGATAAACTTTTTGTGCAAGTATGACATTTTATATCATCATCTTCTCATTAGTCACAAAAAAATCTTCTAAGCTCTTATGAGCAGATTCATTTTTCAAACATCACTGTAGACAGAATCTGTGTCAAGCATTCGTGAATGTTGACTTATCAGCATTGACAATTGCGTAAATGATATTTTTAAGACTGAACTCTTTCGAGAGGTCATGGAGTCCTAGGTTCTGTGATTGTAGCAAGCACACAGCCTGAAAAAACTGTTTATCCTTGCTCTAAAATTGTTTGTACACAGGCTGTAATACACATACCCCACTGAGGAGAAATAAAAGCTGAAACCCTGCTTTTCAGGAGAACTTCAGGAAGGAGGTGTGCATAGTAGTTTTCCAGGAATGATGATAACATCTTCCAATTGGTTTTTTCCAGTCCAGAATGCCTGCAATGAGTTTGCACCACTGGTACAACGTGGTCATTAATCCGCCAGAAAACATTTCTCTGTTACGCATGCTGCCTTGTTTGCATATAATGGACAGTAAATTGCATTCATCTTTCAAAGATGACACGGGTTGCCCTTTTCCAGTTAATTCCAAATGCATCCTGTGTGTACTTGTAGCACTTGGCACATCAAGAGCAGTCGACACGGTGTAACAGTCAGTGGATCCTCATCAGCCATTCTGCAGAGCAATTTTATTCCCACTGTCAATTGGTCAGTGTCAAAGTTTTCATCAGATAATATATCACAGCCAACCCAACTTTCAGCAGCTTCATTATCGCCAAAAGCTTTTTCACCTCTGATTTTGACATTTTCTTACTTCGGTTATCCATAAAGTCAAAAATCATCCCCAAAAAGCAACAAACATAAGGGACAACGGAGGCAAGTGCGGCTGGTGAGCACAACTCTTCAGTTCAGGGTCAAGAATTGCCACTAAATGAGTTTTGGTGCCAAGTTTATACAAAAATAGGCTGTGAGTCTGTATAGATCCTCCCCCACAGGCTGTCTTTTGCTTAACAGTTGCCAGGAATAACTTTTTCTATGCTTTTACTTTCAATGTTTCCATGTCCTTAAATTTTATGTGAGTCACATGTGCATGACACTTAAATGAACTTAGTTTTTTTAAATCCAATCTGACAATCTTTTAACTGGTGCATTGAGTCCATATATATTTACAGTACCGAAATTATTGATATATTTGGACTTATTTTTACCAACTAACCTTTGAATCCTACTTCTTTTCTCTTGCCTCTTTTTAATTGATTTCCTTTTTTCTCATCCATTTTGATGTAAATATTAGGAAATACATATGCTCGGTTTCTATTCTTTGAATGATTTTCATTAAAATTTTACCATGCATGTTTCATTTGGCAAAGCCTAACATTAAACAATTTTTAACTCTGCTTGTGAATAGCATAAGCACTTTAGGATACTTTAATTCCACCTCTCCCAATGCAGGTATTATTATTATTATTCAGCATTTTAGTTCTGTCCTTTTTTTTAACCCTACAAATTATTATTGCTTTATATTGAGAATATTTGTTTGAATTCATATGCATGTGTAACAGTCAAGGTTCCATCACTAGGAATCGCTAGGAAAGATATAAAAAGAGATTTGCATTTCCCTGATAGTTAGTGATTTTGAACATCTTTTCATGTGTCTGTTGGCCATCTGTATATCTTCTTTGGAGAAATGTCTGTTCAGGTCTTTTGCCCATTTTTTAATTGGGTTGGTAGTTTTTTTGTTGTTGAGATGCATGAGTTCTTTATATATTTTGGAGATTAAGCCCTTATCAGATGTATGGTTTGCAAATATCTTCTCCCAATTGTTAGGTTGTCTTTTCGTTTTGTTGATGGTTTCCTTTGCTGTGCAGAAGCTTTTTAGTTTGATGTAGTCCCATTTGTTTATTTTTTCTATTGTTTCTCTTGCCCGGTCAGATGTGGTGTTTGAAAAGATGTTGCTAAGACCGATGTCGAAGAGCGTACTGCCTATGTTTTCTTCTAGAACTTTCACAGTTTCAGGTCTTACATTCAAGTCTTTAATCCATTTGGAGTTAATTTTTGTGTATGGTGTAAGGTAAGGATCTACTTTCATTTTTTTGCATATGGCTATCCAGTTTTCCCAACACCATTTGTTGAAGAGACTTTCTTTTCCCCATTGTATGTTCTTGGCTCCTTTGTCAAAGATAATAACAACAATAAACAAACACATAGGGACAGAGATTGGATTGGTGGTTACCAGAGGGGAAGGCGGGAGGGAGGAGGGTGAAAGGGATAATTCAGTACATGTGTGTGGTGATGGGTTGTCATTAGTATTTTGGTGGTGAACATGATGTAGTCCATGCAGAAATAGAAGTACAATGATGTACACCTGAAATTTTTGCAATGTTATAAACCAATGTTACTGCAATAAACAAAAAATTAAAAAAAAAAAAAAAAAAGAGATTTGCTTTGAAGGTTCAATCTTCCTCAATTGTGGGAGCTGGTTAAACCATTTATATGGTGCTATTGCATCTATGTCAGGTCTGCCAGGCAGGCAGTCAAAAATAGAAGGTGCACATGAAGTGAGAGAAGCAAGGACAAACTGGAACCTGCAGGTGTGAGCAGTAGCCACGAGGGCAGACTGTAACCACATCAGTCTTTCACCACCTCCAAGACTCCAATGAGGGTGGCCTGCCGAAGAAACTGGTGCCCTTTGTCATGGAGCTAAATACACACCTGGCCCAGGAGGAGAATCCACAGGAGCTGGGACTTGACATTGAGGGTGTTACTGAGAAGTCCACTTATCATTACAGGCATCCCTCGTTTTATTGCACTTTGCTTTATTGCACTCTGCAAATGTTGTGTTTTTTACAAGACCCTCCATCCACAAAAAGATGACAACTCGCTGAAGGCTCAGATAATGGTTAGCAATTTTAGCAATAAAGTATTTTTTAATTAAGGTATGTACGTTGTTTTTTTAGACATAATGCCATTGAACACTTAATAGACTACAGTATAGTGTAAACATAACTTTTATAAGCACTGGGAAACCAAAAAATTTGTTTGACTCGCTATACTGGAATATTTGCTGTATTGTGGTGATCTGGAACCAAACCCTCAGTATCTCTGAGGGATGTCTGTATAAGTATTGTCCTTTTGTGGTGATTTCAGTTTTATCTGACTGTTTTGAAGATCTTCTCTTTGATTGTGTTCTGAAGTGTCAAAATGTGAGCCAGCAGAGAAGCAACAATGTGCTTGAACTGCAACAGCATCTCTTAGCTGAACTAAAAAGAAGTTGGCTGCTGCATCCCATTGCCCTTCTAAATCTCTTGCAAAGTGTCTCTTATGGCCCACGCAAATCTGGATCCATGCAGGGAAGGAAATTCTTGAAAATGTGGTTCCAGCTTAGCTAAGTCAACACAGTACAAATCCACCACAATGTTTACCATTGTTTTTGCTTATCTTTTGTTCTTGCCTCTCAGACTATCGCTCAAGGACCATTTTCCTTTTTGAAGAATATACTTTAAAGACACTTTTAGTTCAGGTACCTTGGTGGCAAATTCTCAGTTCTTATCTGTACTTATCTTCCTATCACCCTCACTACTAAAAGATGGTTTTACTGAGCATATAATTCTTGATTGAAAGTTATTTGCCTCAAAACTTTGAAGATACCGTAATATTGACATTGGCTTCCATGGATGCCTTTGAGAAGTCTGCGTATCATTCTAATTGTTGTTATTTTGTAATGATCTCTACTTTCCCTGACTGCTTTTAAGTTCTTCTCTTTGACTTTGGTGTTTTGTAAATTCGAAATGTAGCCAGTTGTGGACCACTTTTTATTTATCCTGCTTAGCCAGACTGGATAAGCTTCTTGTATCCATAGATGTAAGTTCTTCATCAGTTTTGAAATATTGTATCTGCCATCTATTTAAATGTTGCCTCTTCTCCCTTCTCTTTTTTCTCTTTCTGAGATTCTGATTAAAAAAACAAAACAAAACTCGTTCTCTTGTTCGTATCTCAACTTCATTTTCATATTCTCCAGCTTCTCTCTCTGTGTTATATTTGGGGTAATTTCTTTGGTTTTATCTTCCAATTCACTAGTCTTCTCCTCAGCTGTGTGTAATGTACTATCTAACTTATCCACTGAGTTTTCTGTTTCACCAGATGCACACACACACACATACACTTATACATAGGTATATGTATAAGTGTGTGTATATATATATATATATAGTTCATCTTTCTTTTGCAAATCTGCTGGGTCATTCTCTTTAGCTCATTCATTTCTATGATTTCCTTTTTTATTTCTTTAGACATTTTAGTCATGTAGTTCAGTAACCTGTAGTCCCTGGGGCTCTAAAGCTATTGTTTACTGTCACTGCCTAGTTTCACTCACAGAGATTTGATGATCTTTGACTACAAACCTTTTGTTTCATCTTAATCTGAGTGACCCCATCAGCCTAAATAGGACACTCGACTCCAGAGGGGACTTTCTTTTGCTTCTGCTTGGAGGTGGGGATGCCACTCTCTCAGGATCACCTAAGCCCTCACTCCCAGGGCCTTGACCCAGAACAAGAGCCCCTGGTCCAGCCTCCCCACTTCATGGCCTCCCTGGGGCTCAGCATTCTGACAGCAGCACTGCCTCTGCATTCCAGAACAACCCTCAGTGCTATGGATTCTGGCCCCAGATCTGAGCATGGCGGGTGAGGTTTGGGGAGGAGTGGAGCATCCGTGGAGAACCCTGCCACTTCTTGTGAGGCTCATGGTTCTTCGGACTGTGAGTCCTCTCCAGGGCCTCATTGTTTTACAGCAGTCAGGACCTCAGTGAATCTGCTCAGGCAACATCTCAGAAGCCAAACAACCCTGATTTGTGAGAACAGACATTGCAAACTCTGTTCAACTTTTCTTAGGTGGATGTTTTCTAGTACGCTGTTATAGGTTGAACAGTATTCCGCAAAAAGATATGTTGGAGTCCTAAGACCCAATTCCTCAGAATGTGACCTTTCATGGAGATGGGGGGTCTGTGCAGAGGTCATTAAGTCAAAATGAAGTGATTAGGACGGACCTTGTTCCAGTATGACTGGTGTCCTTATAAAAAGGGGAAATTTGGACACAGAGACAGACATGCACGCAGGGAGGACAATGTGAAGAGATAGGGGGAGAACGCTCCGTGAAGATGGAGGACTGGAGTGAGGCATCTACAAGCTAAAGAACGCCAAAGAATACCAGAAAACTAGCAGAAGCTGGGAAGAGGCAAGGAAGGGTTTCCAGAAATGTTGCATTGGGAGCACAGCCCTGCCAACACCTTGATTTGAGTCTTCTGGTTTCCAGAACTATGAGACAATATGTTTCTGTTGTTTAAGCGACAATACGTGGTACTTTGTTAGGGCAGCCCTAGGAAACTAGCACAGGGAGCTGTGGTCGCCTGGAATAACACTTCCACAACACAGGGCTGTGGGAACGAGAGGTCCTGGCTGCCTGCCTTTTCTGGGGTGAAACGGCAAAAAACTGGGAGCTGAGGGGAGGGGGATCCCCCATCTTCTTGGCTACATCCACCCAAAATAGTACAACTGGAGTAGAGTTTCCACCACACGGAGCTGGGGAGGGGATCGGAGCACGTTGTGGCTCAAATGCCACACACCCGCTCAGCGGAGACCACCAACAGGTCTCCCTCCCCTTTGCAGGATGGCAGAAACACCAGGCAGAGGAAGCCCCTGACCCTCTTCACACAGAGGGCTTGGCGTGGGCATGACCCCAGAGGGCACCTGAGAACGGGTAACTTCTGTGAAGCAGACGGCCAGTCCCGGGACAGGGGTAAAAGGGAGGGGGCAGCAGGGACAGCAGGTTCCCCCACACTCATGGACAGGGCAAGGGAATGGGGTGGCTGGAGAGAGGCCCAAAGCCAGGTCTCTTCCGGGTATAAATGAGCTCTAATTGACTCCCTAGTTAATGCTCATTAAAGGGTATTTTATTCCCTCTCCTCTCTTTCCTCAAACATATCATCTTCCCCAGTCTGGCCCTTTGAGATGAAATGGTTTATTTAACTCAGAGACCACGTGTAGAGACCGACAGAGAACAAGCCAAGCCCAGTGAGTCCATCGCTTTGGAACCAGGAAGTCTGTCCCGCGCTCCCAGCCTTTCCTGCTCCTACTCTCCTCTGAGGGCTCTGCCGGGTGTCCCCTCACTGCCCAGGGACACCGTCGGCTCAGGGGACTGTGTTGTAGACCCTGTAGTCGTCCTTCTGGGTGATGTGCAGCTTCCAGGGGAAGAGGCGCTTCTGGGAGGGGTGACCTTGGGCCTGCCTCACCATGAGCCCCACGTCCTCATCCGATAGTAGCCGAATCAGATCCCCATCAGCATCCCGGTAATTTAGGGCGATGTCCTCCCTCTGGAACTCCCGCCTGAGGGGGAAAGGTCAGGGTTAATGAAAGGTCCAGGGGCCTTGGGCCTAGGCCTGGGGGCAGCGAGATAGGGTGGAGGGAGTTTTAGGGCCTGGATCCAAGAATCAAAAGAGGTCAGAGCTTGACACATCATCCGAGTGGTCCAACCTCCCACTGTTCAGATGGAGAAACTGAGACTTTCACCATAAATCAGTGGCACAGCCTGAAATGTCTTGTGTATAAATGTGCTGAAGACTTAACTGTTCTGGGGAAGAGCAGTGGGTTTGGCCGAGCACAGAGTAGGGCAGAATAAAGCCCCAGAGATACCCATGCGCAGCTATGAAGGAGAACTTGTAAAAGGATTGGAACCGTCTGCTGCAGGGTGCCGGGAGATGCGCATTCTTACACCCGGCTGGCGAAAGTAAAAATCGACCCAAACTTTCTACAGGAAATTTGACAAGACGGGTCAGAAGCCTAACAGACTTGCAAAGACCTTGATCCCCAAATTCCACTTCTAGAAAATCATCCTAAGAAAATAATCAGAAAGAATTCACATATTCACCAAATATGTGAATCACAGCATTATTTACGATAGCAAAAAAGTGGAAGATAATTTAAATGACCAACAAGACGGGATGGCTACATTAATTATGGTGCGTCCACAGAATGATACTGTGTAGCCAATTAAGGTAATATTTATGTGGGGGTGGGGTGGGTGTGCATTGCAGAAATCTGAATGTACATCAAATAACGAGAGGAGTAAAAATAGGAGGTGATTTCACTCCTTTATACCTTTCTGGGAGTTTCTGAAATTATTTTTTTATATAATGAATAGGTATAACTTTCATTGTCAGGAACGTAACAATGGTATTTTCATTCTGTAAAATAACTTATCCTAAATAAACTAGATCTTGGTGGTAGTTCCCTAATGGTAGAGAGTCCAGGTCCAAGGTTTTTACCTAGGAAGACGTTACCTCTCGCTGCAAATCCACACTCCCAAGCTGTGTGACCCCAGAGAAGCCCCTTTGCCTTTCTGCAGCCCCCGCTTATCTCTAACTCGAAAGCTGACGCCTGCTCTGCAGGGCTGGGCTGTGGATCAGACAAGAAGGCGAAACAGATTCAAAGCAGCTAAGCCCCTAATGCGTTGTGCTCCTCCCTCGGTCTCTCCTCCAGGGCACGTGATCCCCCTCTGTCCTCCAGCCCCGCCCTCACCTCATGAGCTCCAGCAGGTCCTTGAATAGCGGGGTGCTGCTGAGGTCTTCCTCCACCGCGATGTCCCTAAGGGGATAACAGGCAGGGGTGAGGAGGCGTCACGCCACAGGGGGACACGGGAATGAGGCTGGCCAGGCCGTGCTGGACCTTGACATCTTGTTACCAAGTTATGGCTTATCCGGAGGGCAGTGGAGCCACTGCAGGCTGTTGAGTGTGTATGTGGAGGGACAGAACGAGATTTGGTTCGGGTCTCAGAGCCTAGAGTGTGATGTGGGGGTGGGTGTGGGGATGGGCCAAGTGGGTGGACGGGCCCCCTCCCTCCCAGCAGCCACCAACTTGATGGTGCTGATGGTGTCCTCATAGTAGTAGCAGCGCAGCCAGTTGGTGGGGTCATCCTCCTCGGGGAAGTCCTTGAGGATCTTCACGAAGGACAGTGGGAAGATGCCCGTGGCTCCCCGGACGGTGCCCTGAGGAGGAAAACAGAGGCTGCCCTGTCGGCGCGAGGAGAGGCAGCAGGGCTGCACCACGGGGCCCCAGCCCCCTCATGACGATGGGGAAAGGCAGACGAGGTCTCGGTCCCCTTACGCAGAGGGAGGAGAAACAGTAACCACAGTCACCAAGATGTTCACCCCAAGAAGACTTCTACTTTGGTTTTAGAATAGGTCAAGATCTGAACTTATCTGGAAAGCTGCTATCGTCTCATTCATTCATTCACTCAGTCATTCATTCAAAGATTTCTTGAGCACCACGTGGCCCTGGGCACTCAGAACAGATGGAAGTCCTCGCCCTCCCTCATGGAGCTTCCACCGTAACGGAGGAGACAGAAAATGCGCAGGTAAATAGGTGAACTTCATGGTGAGTCAGATGGTGGAAAGTGTTGGGGGGCAGAGCGGGCGGTGGTTCCCACTCATCCATTCATTCCACAGATGCCACTGAGCACCCGCTGCAGACCACACAGCCGGAAATCTCTCTCCTTCCCGGGCCTCTCCCCTGAACTTCAAGCTAAGACCCAGCCCCGCCTGTGCTTGGCGAATATGTTGTCCTAGCCTTCACAACCCTGCGGAAGACATATTGTCTACATCTCATTTTACAGATGTACAAACTGAGGCTCAAAGTAGTCCCCTCACTCCTCCCCTGACCCTCCCCTCAACCTGAGGCCAGCATACTGACATATAGATCTTTTCAGAAAACAGGAAGGCAACAAACATTTCTTGTTTCTGGAGAATGTCCCAACGATACCCCTCAGGCAGCTGTAAGGGCCGATGAGTACCTGAGGCAGAGCTCCAGGACTGGGGTATAATTGAAGCCGCCAAGTCAGCGGGACCAATGGTCCTTGCCCCTCTCTAGCCCCTGGACACCAGGGAGCCTCCCCTCCCGTCAATGGTTCCCGGACTCCCGGGGGCTGGCCTCGCCTCGGGACCTGTCCCACAACCTCCTTCAGACACCCTCCCCCAGAGCCCCGAGTAAAAGGAATCTTAAGAACAACAGGATCTAATCCGAAAGGCTGGCACCAGGCCAGAGCCTCCCACCCAGTGACCTCCTGTCTCCATTCACCAGGTCACCACGAGTCCTTGTGTGGGCCACGTTTGCCACGTAGGAGGACAAAGCGATGAGCAAGACAGGCTCTGGCTCCAGAGCCTCACTGAACCCTCCCAACCGCCCACGCGTGCAGGCTCCCTGTGGGCCAAGCCCTGAGCAGCGATGCCTCCTTTCACCCTTCCAGGGGCCCGGTGAAGAAACTGCCTGCGTTATCTGTGTTTACAGGAAAGGAAACCACCAGGCTGAGCACGTTTCCCAAGCTCACAATGCTAGTGAAAAACAGAGCAAGGATGTGACGACAGACAGGCGACTCCAGACCTCAAGCTCTTCAGCACTATTTTTTCTTGCTGCCTCTCAGGTACGTAATGCTGTCCTGCCCTACAGACCAGTGCCTCTCACCTGGGGGGATTTTGCTCCCCAGGCCAAAAGTCTGGAGACATCTTTGATTGTCACAACTGGAGGGTTCTACTGGCATCTAGTGGGTGGAGGCCAAGGACGCTGCTAAACATCCTAGAACGCACAGGACAGCCCCACAACCAAGAACTACAGGGCCCCGGGTGTCAACATGCTGAGGCTGAGAAACCTTGTGATAGACCAGGAAAACCTCACCTCCAACCTCACCTCCAGCCTCACCTCCATTCCCACCTCCATCCTCACCCCCCTTCCCACCTCCAACCTCACCTCCAACTTCACTTCTATCCTCACTTCCAACCTTACCTCCAGCCAGTCTTTATTGATCCGACTGAGAAGAAAGATCACATCTCCGACTTTGAAACTCAGCTCCAGTTTGCTGTTCCCAGTGAAGTCGAACAGCGCCTGGGGAGAAGAGTGGAGTAAGGCGGGAGGGAGGAGACATTTGCTGAGTACCTACTAAGGTGCTTACATACTTCGGTGACCCGTTTAAGAGATGAGGAAATAGAGGCTCAGGGGGAATGAGTGACTTGTCTGAGGCCACTCCATTTGTTAGTGGATGGGCCGGGATTAGAACCCAGGTCTCGCTGACTGCAGAATGGGTGCTCCTTCCAGACCAGATAGGATGAGCACGGAGAAGGAAGGGTCCAAACTCCTTGGACCAAGCACCTTCCCTGGACCCCAGGCCTCACCGGGGGCTCCGGTGCTCCCATAACCCCCAGGGCACTGACCACACCATTTCTGAAATGCCGTCTGTATGTGTGTGTCCTGGGGACCTGTGAGCCCTCTGAGGACAGGGTCTTGTCTGAGTCATCTCTGGGGCTTCAGTCCCCAAGAGGGGCTGGCCCAGAGGAGGCCTGGGAAAGCTTGCTGAATGAACGATGAACGGATGCATTCTCCTACGCCTCCCCTCAGCTGAGCTGGGGGTCCTCGAGGGCCGAGCCTGAGACTGTGGGCCCTTCCTCCCTGCAGTACCCAGCCCACACAGCGGGCGCCCAGCAGGAGGGCCTCAGTGGCTGAAGGCAGAA